TGAAATTGGGTTAGGGTTGTCCGTTGGTCGGTTCGGTTATGAAGAGACCCGAACCGACCCAAAACTTTCAGGTATTTAATAAATGAAACCATCGGGTCCAAATATAATTATGGAATCATTCGGGTTCGGTTCGGGTCGGTTCCGTACCATAATTAAATTTTTTTAATATTTACTGCAACACTAAATAAATACAACTAATGACATTTCATTCTAACTTTTACAATTTAACGTAACCCAATTAAAAAAATATATTAATAACTAGCCGTCCAATAAGATTAATTCAATGTATACAAATACCAAAAAGTAGATATTAATATTATATCAATACTACATAAAGTATATTCATTTGTTTCAAATTAAAACGGGCTAATGGCTTTAAAAATTATTTGGGTTTTAAAATTAAAATTATGAAATAATCTGATTTATTTAATTAATTTGCTAATTGTTTAGAAAAAAATAAAATAATTAAATTAATTCAATATAAAAAATAAAAAAATTATTTAGTTTCGATTCTTATTTGATTCTTCGGTTCTTGATCTAGACCCGAGAGCCGACTCAAACCCATCGGTTCTTGATTCGAGTACCCGTTTGGGTATTTAATTTATGAAGAACTGTTCGGTACGGATCGGGTTCGGTTCGTTTCGGGACTTTTGGACACCCCTAATTTAGAGAGAGAAATGAATACCAGTTCTTTTAGCAGCACCTTTTTAAACAAGTGTAAGACCTATTATAAGAGCATTAGAAAAATAATGGTCGTAAATTTTGAAAAGAGAAAAGTGACATTTTATTTCTTGTTAAGAAAAAGAAAAAATGAATTGAAAAAATAAAATGTCAAATTAATTATATATATTGAGAAAGTAATGGATGCGATATATTTATGTGAAACATAAATGTATGTGATTAATTTTATGCAATTTATATGATTTTTTAAAGAGATGTTTGTATTTTCAATTTTATTAATTTCTTGTGTTTGCATATGATGATTTTAATTTAAAGAATTTCGTAATTATAATTTTTATTTTTCTTCAATCAAACAATTCACCTTTCATAATTTGGAGCCCTCGTAAAAGCAAGACCTTACGCAATAACTTCCGCCACCAATAGTCAGAATCGGCTCTGGATGTACCATGGCCATGATGGATTGGCACCACACTTCCACGAGCCCATTTACTCCCAGGCTACTTTAGCAGGAGGGCACCTCCACTTACCAACAGAGATTTCAATGAAAGAGCCTTCACTATTGGTGTTGGTGGCCCTGTTGGAATTGGGTATTTCCAATTTTCACTCTTTTATCACTTTTTAGCATAGTTATTCTCTATCACTGTTGCATAAATTTAGAGTTGAAAACATAATTTAGATAAATAAGATTGTCCTTTTTCTCAATGTTTAAGCTTTTAAATAAGTTTGAAGTCATATTTGCCCCTCATTTATGAAAAATTGAGCCAGGAGAAGGTCCGTTACAAGAAAATTAATTTTGGTCTACAGGTGTGGGGTATGTCTTTTTAAACGTTTTGGCTTTTAGATAAGTTGGTTCAACTGTTAGAATATTCGTGCAGAGGTTAGTACAAGCTGTAATCTGGAAATTGGGCTCTTGAGCCTATTCCGAGTTTATCTTGTTTTCATCTTCATGAATCTTTAAATGAATTAATCTATTTGTACAATTGAGGTGGACAATGATGGATGAAAACATTGATGTCGTCAAAATTTGGACCATTAATTTTAAAAACAGTTTTTGAAATTGATAAATGTAAAGTTGTCAAATATGATTGTCAATCAAAATTGTAAATAAAGATTGTACAAGTAGTATGATTGATAGTACTTGTTTCTTTATATACATAACTAACTTTTTTTTTCCCTTTCATGTTGTATTATTAGCATATATAAAACTATAAATGGATAAGTCTTGAGGTGGGTTAATGCAAACACTCAATGTTAGTAATTTTCTTAAGCTCGCAGTTCATTTGCTGTACTTAAACACAATGAAATCATTTTATCCTTGTTTGATTTTTTTTCTTTTCAAAATAACTGTTCTTCAAACTCATTTTCAATCACATATTCTTTCCATAAAATAATTTTACACGCGAATCCAAAGAAATCATTTACCACAAAATCACTTCCGAAAAAATTTAAAATCAAACAAGGGCTTAGCTTTATAGCTTAGATCTGTATATATACCTTGATTATTCTGGTAACATAGTGTTCTATAAGCTAGTTTCAATACAAGTTCAGGACCTTTATCTTTATCTTTTTTTTTTTTTCAATTACATTAGATTACACAATTCGTAGCGTTTCATTTATTTCACTTTGTTCCTATTATATGCGCAAGTTAGCTTGAATTTCATACCATTCCAATTGATTTATTATGTTTTCACTGCATAAATACTGCTTTAATGCTAGCTGTTACCCCTCAAATCCGAAGTCTTTGGTCAGATCGCCACGTAGATAGCCACGTAAGCAACGGTCACACAAGGGCTATTGAGGCTGGTCGAGGTGCCTCGGTTCTGGGGAAGGTAGTGGGTACGACGAAGTAGCGGAGGGGCAGCCAAAATTCGATCCTACGTGGAATGAAGCCACATGGCACGACATGTGGGCAGATGGTTAAACACACCATTTAAAAGAAGACCCAACAGACAAAACACACTAGTAAAGGGGAGCAGGCCGATGCCCTCACACTTCTCCAAAGGATGAAGCTGCTTAATTTGGGTAAGGACCTCAGATCTTTCCGAAGTTGCCTCCAACTCATCCGAGGCTCATGATGCCAACGCTGCCTCTCGAAATATATTTAAAGATCTATGAGAAGTGATTGATGTGACACTCATAATAAAAGCTTGTCCGTATGTCAGCTTATTGTATAGGGCGACTGACCTTTTATCAATGTATTAATTGTATGAATAGACAGTGATGTGAAGACTTGGTTATGGGGATGTGGTCACGTGGTTCCGAGCCAAGAGTCACCATGTCGGCCAATGCATTATAAATATGTCTTCTTTGTAATTAAATAGGGGATGGACGATAAAGAAAAGAGGAATAACCATATATTCACAATATACACTTGAACTCTTAAAGAAACCATATGAACATTT